CAGCTTGACACACTTGCAGTTTCAACCGGCTGCAAGTCGGCTTCAAGTTTTTCTGGCCACCGCTCTGTGCTTTCAGGCGGTGTGCAAGGCTTTCCCTTGTCAGGTGGGTTCTGCAGCTTGCCCAATGTTTCGCGGCGTGCCTTGGCAGGGAACTGGGCACTTGGTCGATCCGATGTAACTGGGTGCCGTCAAATTGGTCCTGCTGTGTCAGCCATGTTCAATTGCTAGATCCCTCTTGGTTTGTTTTGTTTTGGGGCTTGCTTATTCTGTAAGGCCAAGTTTTCATGAGGGGATCATGCAGGGGTGGGAACGATCGATCTCGTCTCACATTTGGGAAACCAGGGGTTCATTGGGAATGGTCTCAGGGGACCTGCTGCGGGTTTCGCTGCCGCTGGTTGTGCCACTGCCAGCGGCTGCCGCCCAGCCGCAGGCGCGGCTTGGTTTGGCGCTTTAGCCTTGCAGCAACCCGGTGTAGTTTTGAGCATTGCGTGGAACGGCCAGATGCAAAAAACTTCCCCACAGCGCTACCTGCAAGCTCGAACTAAATGCTTCGGAGCGCATCCACATAAAAAGTTGGTTCACAGTCCAGCAAGCAAAAGTTCTGTGAGAGGCGAAGCGGCAGCTCCTGGCGCTGGCAGAGCCTTCGGTTGGCCAAATCACTCGTTTTTGGCAGAGCAAAAGAAACCCAACTTGGAAACGTTGGACCTGACCGCGAGCTTTGAAGAAGTATTTTCGGTTGCAGGTCTGATTTTTTGTTGGAATCTTTGAGGACTTTCGGGATGATGTGACTGAACTAGCGACATGGGTCGCAGGCTCAAGCGTACGTCACTTGCGACGAAGGTTTCCACAGGCCAAGATGGGTCTCTTTGATTGAGTTGGAGTTGTTGTCTCCCAATCGATCAGGGTTCTTGAGGATGCCAGCCGGATGTAGCAACACATGAGTGAACTTTTGTGAATTGAGGAACTTGCAAGATTTGTGGCTCTATCCCGCCATCTAGTTTCTTCGACATGCAATGGTTCAATGTATTGGTTCACTGTTGTGGGTGACAAGAAGGGTCCTAGAATGCAGACAGCGTGGGCAACGTTGCAAAGAAGAGGCATGCTTTTGACCAGCCTAAAATCATCGCAACATCACCTGGGTCTTTTGTCATTTTCCATGACAGAAGCACTACCCGGGATGTCTAGGCAAAATGCATCAAGATTGGACACACTTGTGCCAGGCAGGAAGTTACTACCACCCTGACATATGTCTTGCTGCTCTGGTCCCAGGGCAGGCAGATCTGTGAGATCAGACAGCACTGTCTGGATGTTGTATCCTTCGGCCAGCTTCAGCGGTACAAATCAAAGTAGGTGCTGCTGAGATTGCTCGGACGCGACCAAGCAAGGACACAACTGCGCGCGGCACGGCTGCTTCGGCTGAGCAGAAGAGGTGCCTGTGATCTAGATGTCAGTGCCTCGAGCAACCGTGAACCCTCAATTTGGCATGCCATGTTTTCATTTTTTTCTTTGGTATTCTAGCCATGCGCCGGGACCAAGATCGGATGCGGTCGTTTCCATTGTGATTTAGACTGTTTGAGACACCTGGATTCATGCGGGACGTACCTCCCAGATTGTGGTCCGTTTGATTGAGTCTTATTTGGACACCTTCTTGATCCTTGCACTTTGACAAGCTATTTTGGATTCACAGCAAGTCTTTTGCCGATGATCTGCAGAGGGAGAAGCGTGTACTCTGCAACACTGGCCGACCTTTTGTGTTCCTCCTAGACGATGTTTACAACTCTTCCGGCTAAGCCAGGAGGGAAACAATGAAATGACCCAGGCAGCTTTTCCAGGTTGCTAAAAATCAAGAATAAAACTCGCTTCATGAACGGATTGTTGGATTGGCAACATCTCGAATCATGGGACTCCTAAAAGTCATCGGCATGAAAGAGCACTACTTGGGCTGCATTTACCTGCTTTTTGCTGGCAGTGAGTACGGCAAATGTCTTTTTCTTTAAACAGTGAAACCGTCGCACGCACCCCAAGTAAGTGTCGAGTCTTTTGTTTTTAAGCATGTTGCTGACAGCTGGCTTTGCTGACGTTTGCAGCATTCCTAGCAGCAAGACGCGATGCATGATTATGGTATGTTTTGTCCAGAACATTTGCTGTCTGCAGCTAAAATTGTCCTTTTGTAATCAATCTGAAAGTTGCCGTTGTCCTGCAGCACACCGCGACTCGTCACGGCTTCGGTTTGCGACAGAGAGCCAGGCAAATGAGCCAGCTGGCAGACGACCTGGCAGCGTCAGCGCCGGCGGCTACCAAGAGCATGATGTCAGGCTGCTCCTATTGGGGGGATAGAGGGATGCAGCTCAAGACTCAGCGGCGTTTCTTCTCGGCCGGGAAAACGCAATCAAGCCTTGAGTCCCTTCAGTGGTCTTCAGAACCATGGGTGTGAAATATGAACGAGAGTTCCCCGTTTAGATGCCGGGGTTTCATCACAACATGTTGCTCAGCAACCAACAGAAGTCGGATCCTGGAGCATTCACTCCAACACACACGAACCGGTGCGCACAGAATCGCTCCATGCTGACTCTCTTGAAGCACGTAGCACTTGGAGCAGAGAGTCAGGCACTTGGAACCTGGTCTACACCACCGAAAAGGAGGTGCTCTCCTTGATCGGGGACCCAGGCAGCAGACGTGTGGCGCAAGTCGCGGTCATGCTGGAGTTAGGGAACCTTGTTCTTGGGCGGTTCGATTGATGGTGAGGCAAAGCGGATCCCTCGCCGCAGAGAGCAACGATGGCCAAAGGGACAGCAAAGGGATACCAGCATACGGAAAACTATTTGGGCTTTGGGTTTTTGCCGAGCTTGCGGAGATGGCCTCGTGCACTGGCCCTGAAGTCATTGTGAAACTTTCGCCAAAGCGGTGAAGGGTTGGGTGCTTAGTCCATCAACCCCTCGTGCTTACAAATTAAATCGGGAGGGGGGTGTGGGTCCCGACCCAAGGCGATGTGCTTGAACTATTTGTGTAGACCCGTGCTCACGCTTCGCAGTCACACTCGTTGCCAAAGAATCAGATCATGTCAGTTGGAGACAGAGAGTGCTTTGCAGTGTGAAGCGCAGACGCGGAACACCATTGCTGTTGGATCATTCTTAAGTGTTAGCAACTGACTGTTGCCGCAACAATATCATTGGCCTCCTTTCCTGTCTGGTTGGCTGTGCATGTTCCAGCAGATATCTCCGTGTACCAGAAGCTGGATGCCGACGCTGGAACGCTGGGAAATAGCCGCTGTGGCAGCACTCCTTGGGAGAACCAAGCCACAGCGCCTTTTCGAGTTTGCAGATGGCTCTGAGAACCGGCATGACGACTCACACTTGCCCTTTGCCACAAGCATAGTCGGCGGGTGTCAATATCGAAAGCCTATCACCCTTAGTCCCCTTAGTCTGGGTAGTTTTCGTGACTTTGCATACGGGCAAGACGAGACCAGCAAATACAGACTTGAGAGGAGATGCATGTTTTTTGTCGAATGTCATGAACACATATGTGTGAATTATGCGGGTCCAACACCTTACTCGAGGCATCGTCTACAGCGATGGCCGCCGCTTCGACGTGGCTGGCCGCGTTGAGGTCGCTGGGCAGCGCTCTGCAGGTGACGAGAAGGCCAAGAGGGCCAAGGTGGCTGAAGCAGACAGCATTCTTCATTTTAGAAGGGGCTGTTCACTGTTCAATGGGCTTGATTTTGGGTCAATGTTCGTAGTGTCGACATATTAATCCACCCCAGTTTATTGCTTGGGGGGTTGTGTTTTTGGGTGAATTGTGGAGAAGCAGACTACTTTTGGAGGGGCCAACAACCACCTCTTAAAAAAGACACAAACAAAATCGGGGTTGATGAATATGGAGTCAATGCGAGTCGTGTCGCGATTCGAGCGCAGGCGCCTCCGGGCTTACGCAGCGACTTCAGCTTCACAGGCGCCACGCTGCAGCTGGCGCCCGGGGTGGCCTTGCCGCTGCCGCCCTTCGGCGCGACAGCCCAGACGGGGTCAACTTGACGCATCCGGGGTTCGCAGCGAAATCAGCGACTTGGAAGGGGACAGCTTCGGTTTGAGCTTGGGATTTGGGGACCCATGAAGTGGTATCTCGCTTGCCACGTTCTTGCTGCTCGGCGCAGCGGGTCCTTGTCGAATTGGACTGGCCGGCCACAGCTTTTCTCCCCTCAATCAGTTGGACCCGGTAGCAAGCAAACTTGCCTGTGGAATATTTTCCACTGCGAAGTCTTGGCAGCCTCATTCTGAGGTGCTGGCTGGTTTGCAGCAGCCTCAGAAATGCATGATTCTAGGTAGAAGCTTGGACAGGGGAAGCTGAGCTACTTGGTGTCATGCATCAGTGCACCTGTTGTCCTACCACAGGAGTGATACGCGCGGGGAGTTACAGCATGTCTGGGCCGCCGAGGTCAGCACTTATTTGGATGACACCTTGCGTGTGAACCGCGACTCGCGCGGTGATTTGGCCATCTATGTCCGTGCTTGAGCGGAGAAGAGAAAAAGTCGCTCTGCCACGTACCCTCCCATCGACTAACACGGAACTTTCGCAGAAAATTGGTCTTACAGGACCGCCCAGTTAGGTTCTTGGCTTCAAGTGAGTACAGAGTGGCAAGTCGCAGGAGTCCCTGAGTGTCGATCCAGCATTGCCAGAGTTGTGGCCGTTCGGGCTGAGAAATGCCAGGGCCAGTGGCATTTTTTCATTCATGCAGTGTTTTTTTTGTACCTTGCCCTTACTCTGGCTTGCCCTGATTGCCCGAAATGCTCAAGTGATTGCAACCCTGGTACGCTCTTTGATTGCCCAGTAGCGAGAACTCCCTAACTGTAACGGCCTTGGACATCATTCATTGCCAGAGGATGCATTTGGCTGCCAGATTTTGTTATCTTCAACTACAGCAGTTTGTGAAATTAGATATGCAAACAACTCATTTTGTAGTGAACTTCTGCAAAATGAATGAGTCGGTCCAAACACTTTGATTGCTCGTTGGCCGATGCGGCTCGCAGCGGCCATTTGGGGGCGCATGCTGAAGCACAGCGTGAGAAGCTGAAAGTACGAGAAACCAAGGCGAGAGGGGACTGAGCAAACTGCAGCACGGCGAAAGCGGAAAACGCATTCGGGGCGCCCCGATGGCTCCTGGATTGCGCCGTCAGGCGTTTTTTGGCAATCGGTGCGTTGGTTCTGGTTGGAGAGTGTGTGTGGCCTGCGGCATTTTGTGAGGAGTTGGTGCTCCTTTGTCTCTTCTTCTTTTTGTTTTTGCCGAAAGGCAGTTAACCTTGCTACAAGTTGTACATTGCATTTGTGACAAGGGAACCTGCGATTCTTTGTCGAGCAAAGGTTGTTTGAGTTGATTGGAATCTACAGACCTTGTTTTGATGTCAGCGAAGTTCGAATCTCATCTCAGATTGACGGGTGACTCATCAATGCTGTGGAACAGTCCTAGATGGGGAGTCAAGAGCTGGTGCGCGATCAGGCAGTGCCATGCCCAGTGGTGTCAGGCTGGATGCCACTGATGGAGGGATTTCCTTAGGTTCCGTCCTTATTGATATTGATCTACTTCTTAGGGTGGACTTTCATTGGTCAGCAGATGGAGTGGACCGGTTGACGGCCATTTTTGGGACTGCAAGTTTTGTTTTGTGAGAGTCTGATGAGATCCTCTTTGAGCCATGGCATTCAGTCAACAGGAGCAATGCGACGCTTGTCTAGGTCTTCGGCATTTCAACAAGATGACTTTGCCAATCGATTGGCATGAAGCAACAGAAAGCAACAGAGGCTTTTTGCGACTTCGCAATGCTGGAGCATTCCAATTTTGGAGGTATTGTGGCGCTCGTCTCTAGCCACTTGGAGGTGCAGATGGGGGATGTGTGGTGTGTGTATGCAGTCCGTGCAGCCGTCGTCTCACAAGGGCAGAAGAAGGCATGATGATGGCCACCCACCTATGGTGCTGTGAAACGAATCTCAAACAGAAGGACCATTGGAATCCTCAAGCACATCCCGCCAAGCTCCACTGCACACCCAGCGTTTGGCAGAGAAGATGAAAGGCTAGACAGGTTTGCGGCTTGATGTTTCATGTTATGCAGATTGCCTCAGTAGCTCCGGAAGCATGATAATCCAAGATTATGCAAAACCTTTTTTCCCCAGCTCGCATGTGAAGGGTTGCCTTGGCTGTAAGATTTGAGTCTTGGGTACCTCCCACCAACTAACATGGAGCTCGAGAGGGGGGTCCCCTTAAACGGAACATGGTCTTCCGAACCTCAGGTTCCCATGTGAAAATTGATGCCTTGGTCGTATTCCCAGTTCGGTCACAGGTGCTGAAGGCCCAGGGCCAAGAGAGAGGCCAGGGGTTGGACGGTCATGCCACAGTTGCGTGTGTCATTTGTTTTTTTGGAAGCCCTCATTTTTTTGGTTTTATAACCACCACTCTGTGGATTGCCTTGTTTTGACACACCCATTTGGGTCTGCCGTGAGTGAACTCGTTGACGACTGCAGCAGGCAGTTTCTGGCATGCTCGCAGCTGTTCTTGCAAGGCTGTGCCAAGACAGCCTGGCAGCGGCCAGATTCAACGTGAGCCGGGCTTTGTGGGCGGGTAGGGTGGAAGTCAAATTGACGGAGTTCAATGGTTCATCAATCTCGAAAGGAGGGTATCCAGGAACAAGGACATGTGAACAAAGACACTGTGATCAGATCGAGATGTTTGATATTACTATTTGGGACGATTTTTGCACCAACCGTTGTGCGTGCATTTGCGAGCAAAAATAATATCTCGAGCGGGGGTTCTTGCAGCCAGCACGTTTGCGTTCTGATCATTGGCTTTGCACTGCATCTTTTTCAGCCTTCCAAGTTCCAAACACAAAGGTTAATCGAAGAAATGCCTTATCAGTCACCTCTGTTCACTGGCAGCGGGCAAACCCGCAGGTTCCTTCTGGACTTCCTTTGCGAGGTTTGCAATGACAAAGCCTCGGCCCGCAGCTTAGCGTGGCTTTCAGCAATGGAAAACAGGGGTCAGTTGTTCTAGGCACTTCTTCCCGAGCTGGATGTCCTTCACAATGTTCTTTACTTGCCAACTGTCACTTCGCGGCATTTCGCAGAGTCTCAGCCAGAAGCCTTGCATTCCATGTTGCGAACCTTCAATTCTTACATCGGTGGTGGATACTGATGATGGGATGTCGTATCCCTCTCGGGCAGACAAAGCCAACAGAGCTGAGAATGAGGGGCATGGACCCAAACCCAGGTTGGACAACGTTTTTGCAAGCGGAGTTTTTCTACGTGTTTCATTAAACCCATAGATAACTTTTTGAAGCGGCGCTTTTCTAGGGGTTCTTCATTGGAAAGGCAATATGTCTCTTGGCTCTCAGGCGCTGAAGGGCCGCAGCTTCCGAGCCCTGCGGGCCATGGAGCAGAGTGCCGCCAGGTGAGCTGTTGCGGTTTGCGCCTGGGCGGGTGGCTTTGCAAGGTGGTGGTGAAGCTGTGAGCAAGGGCGAGCAAACAAACCGCTGGCATGTTCTCGCCGCTCTATGGCTGCTTGCATGTGGCCAGCTAGATAATAATTTTGCTGGCATGGGCATTTGGAAGAATGGATGGAGACGAAGCAGCATGATACAAGAAATGCCACCACTGCCCCACAGCCAACAGAGCCGACTAGCGCAAAGCATAACCGCACAGCTTGCTTCAAACGTCCAGCCAGCAGCCAATCCAACCATTGTATCTAGACCAAGCCAATTATCGCCACACAAAGCCTGCCAAAGACTGGCTCCAAAGGCCATTAGCAAAGAAAAGCCGAAACCCACACGCCGACGCGACAATGAGCCAAGCCGACCATGGCCGAAGTGCTGGGTGCGCCCACGCTCGTCCATGTGGCGCTGCTGAGTGGGCGGTCTGTGGCGCTGGTGCCGAAAGCGGCGGAAACGCTCCGAGAGCTGAGGCTACGGGCGGAGCAGGAGCTGCAGCTGGGCCTCGACGTGCTGCTTGGCCCCGAAGGCGAGCAGAGTCGAAGTTTAGGGGCTGGGAGGTTTAGGAGGTCCATGCAGGGAACCTGGAGCCAAAAGTGTCCATGGCAAGGTTTGGAGGGGGTTTACAAAGGGATTCGCAAAGAGGGTTTTGTAGGATGTTGTGGCCACAGCTCCGGGGTAGCAGATGGGTGCTGATAGATACGTGCTGGCAACTAAGGGCAACCTGTTGCTGGTTTCCAAGAGTGCTCGTACAACCCTTCAGAGATCCATGTTGGACTTTGTGTTGATGCAGTAGGCTTAGAACACGCAGTCGGGCTTTGACAATGGATTCATGCCTGTGAGGACTGTTGGTCAGGTTCTGACCAGTCCTGATCGTAGGATACAGACTCCGAGCCACAAAGTGAACCTCACCGATTCAGAATCCCTCGACTGACTCCCCTTTCATCCGACCCCCTTTCTTCGATTCTCATTCAACAGCAAGTCCACAGTCGTGTGCGGAATTTGGTCTCAGCTTGCGTCCGGGAAGTTGTCTTCCAAAGAAACCGTGGCTCAAGGTTTTCCGGGTTCAGCTTCCCCCGGACTGTCGACAGGCCAGGCCTTGCCGGAGGACAGCAGCCTGGAGGCCCTGGGGCTCGGACACTTGGTGGCCGTGGCGCGCCAGGCGCGGCTCTGCTCGGGGCGCTGCAGCCAAGCCTTCGCGCTGATCCGGGCGGACGGCTCGGTGGCAACCTGGGGCCTGGTGCCATGGCTTGGGCCGGATGGGTGGAGGTGACCTCGGACACCCCCGGCTCGGACACCCCCGGCTCGGACAACCCCCACTTGTATCTTATGTTTGTCTTTCATGATGCAAGCCATGTCTGATGTTGTGCCCTTCAGACACATCAAACTGCAAGCCTACAGAAGTCAGATTTCCGTGAATCTTTCGACGTGTAGAGCTGCGCAGATGGCAAACTCGGCTGGTGATGAGTTTGTGGAACAAGTCTAAGGTCTTGCGGGCTGCAATTATTCCAATCAATCCTAGTCCCATCAAACCTCACACCTTCAACCAGAGGTATGATAGCTTGCTGTAAGATGATCGTTCCAGGTCCTATGAAAGATCTTGATGACACATTCGCTCAACAAGTATATGGATCAAGCTGGACAGACTTTTGTGAGCTTCGTTGTGACATTACCAGAGTCTATCTTGTATGAGTTGTGGGACATTTTGTTGGCAGCGTTTGCTGGGAACAGTAGTTTCGCTCACTGGCATAATTGTTGGTATTCAGAAAGCACTTGTCCAAGCGTAGCTGTCCAAGGCAAAAGGGGGCGGCGATAGCCATGCTGTGTGGCTCAGGCTGGAATGGTTGCTCTGTTTGATGGCATGAAGCTCTAAATGCAGCCAGTTCTTCAGAAAAAGTAACAACCAACTTTACATAAATCTCAGACATCTCCCATGACAACGTTAGGGCAGAAAACCTTCAAGATCTTGAAATGCTCCCGACTTGGGTTTAACTTGTCTTTGGCTCCCTGTGAGGCAGGTGCGACAGATTTGTGCCTCTGCCGCTGCCTTTGCAGCGCTGCGGCAAGATGGCCGAGTGGTGACCTGGGGCCGCCCCAAGTACGGTGGCCACAGCCTCCATGTGTGGGGCCAGTTGCATGATGCGCCTGGGAGCACACTAACCTCAATCCGCTTGAATTTTGTGGGCACTCGAACGTGCTCAGTTGGCAGCTTGTAGCTGTGCACCACTGATGCGTGACGATTCTGGCGAAGAAGTGGCTCATCTCAGTCTGAGGCTAGCAGCTTGTTGAAAGACTCAAATCGACTCTGAGAGTATTGTTTGCATTTCATGTGGAAACGGCCAGATATGACCGTAAGTCAAAAATGGGTACCCAACATGGAACCCTGGTAAATGGAACCCAGGACAAAACCTGCGGTCTCCTGGTGGTTGGATTTTGGACCCACACCCAAATGAACACTTTTGGGAGTTGGATGCGACGGTTTTTCCGTTGCGCCTGCGAGGTGCGGCGGCTGGCCGCCACCTGCGGGGCCTTCGCGGCGCTCCGAAGCAGCGGCCAGGTGGTGGCCTGGGGCTCCACGCGCCACGGCGCGCCGAGTCGCGGCGGGGGACTGGTGGCGGAGGAGCGGCTGGTTGAGCTGGGGGGTTAGCGAGCCCCACGGTAAGGATGGGCGGATGGTTTTCTTGTAGATGGTTTCATTTGCGTTTGGAAGAAGCGTTAAGTAGCTTGTGCTTTGTAGATGATGCCAATGTGTCACTTGGTTTGCAGGCAAGTTTTCCGAAGCCAATCGCGTTAGCATGGTCGACGCCAGTTTTCCTTGTGGTGGCTCAGCCTCAGCAACAAGGGAAGCTGTCCAGCTAATTTCATCTCAGCAAAACCTATAAGAGAGAGGCTGAATGAGTTAACAGCTTTGGATAGAAGTCGACGCACAGCTTACATGCCAATGATGGCTGCCTGTGTCCTATGTTGCGAATCGCGTCTCCTCCTCGAGTGCGACTGGCTTGCACAAGGGCATTTTTCTCATCAAGGCCAATACAAAGCTGCCTCTCCCGTGCGCTGGAGAGATGCCACAGCTAAATCATTTGTACCCGATTTTCAGGCTTCTTCAAGCTGTTGCGAGAGAAGCTTTCTTCACATTCAAAACTTCGTACTTGAAGAGCATGAAAGCAAAAGATGTGTGAAGCTGCCCCAGGAGGTGGTGGATCTTGTCGGGGCCAACACAGCCTTCGCAGCGCTTCAGGCAGATGGCACAGCGTCTCGGGAAGCGATTTGCTTGGGTGTGGATATAGACTATAGACGTTCGAAAAAACAGAAAAAGAAAAAAAGAAAAAAACGTTGGCAGAAGGCTCCCTTTGCACCTGCAAGGGTTAGTTGGACATTAATATGCACAGTGACTCATGCGCCTTGCTGCCTCAGCATACAAACTGCTGCCAAGGCATTTTGCTTCATGGCAAACGGGAGAGACTTGCTTGGCTGAGGGATGTCAACTGCTTCTGCTTGGATACTTTTGCTCAGAGATTGGCCCCTGTGTGGCATGTATTCCTGGCCAGGAAGTGCATGCAATCAAAGGGGCCTAGAGCCAACAGGCAGCAAGGAACAACAAAGGGTTGCTCAAGTGGTAGAGGACTATCGGAAGAGCTCTGTGTTGGTCTGAGTTATTCTTCCATGGTATGCTATCCTTGACATTCGTCCTTGGTGCGAATGGCGGGTCTGATTGAGTGCATTGCACCCAGAGTCAGCTGGATGACGCTGGCGGAAAGCTGATGACAATGGCGGATGCTGTCAGGCCACACATCCTTCCATGCATCCGTCCGTCCGTCCATCCGTCCATCCATCAACTCGATCATGTTTTCCCTTTTTTTGTAGTCGCTCTCCTTCGCGTGGTCGCTGTTCTATGTGCCACAGGTCTTCGACAGATCATCCCCTTCCTCTCGCTGCATATTCTTTTTGACCCCTGGACCCAGATCCTCAACCGCAAGGACCGAACCACAAAACCTGCGTAACCCTTGCAAGTAACCACCGCAAACAAGCAACAACACCGGGGTCGGCCGTCGACTCCGAGGTCGTCACGTGGCCCCGGCAGCGCTCCTCTGGCCTGAGGCTTCGGCCCCCGCTGTGGGCGTGCTTCGACAGCTTTGCGGCGCTGGACGATCGCGGAGAGATGGTCGTCTTCGACAGCTTGGCCAGGGAGCAGGCAGCTTGCCGCCTTTGTCCAAATTGCAGTAGCCTGGAGGTTGCAAAGTGGGTTGGATGATCTTTATGCAGGCTTGGTTGTGTTCTATGGGTCCAGCCTCGACTCGCTTGGAGGCCCGGGTGCCGGACGTGGCGAAGGTTGCCGCCAGCGCCGAAGGCTTCTGCTTTCTGCTGAAGGACGGCTCCGTGGTGAGCGCCTCGTTGGAATCGGTGGGAACGAGGGGTGTTGGCCAATCCAACGTGGAAGCATGGGAATCATCTTAGATTTTCCCCACAGTAGAACTACCACAAGAAAACTCGGCATCATGTGTGCATGTTTGTGTTGCTACCCTCTTGCAGACAGAGATGAACCTTTGAGGAGCTGTCCGCACACAAGCGCCGTGCGTGTGTGTGTGTGTGTGTGTGGCCCCTACGCCCTCTTCCCCCTCACAGTCCAACCTAGCGCGTTTGTTGGCTTCGGCATCACCAGCGTGTGAGTCAAGGAAACGCTTTTCCATAAACCAAAGGTGTCAAGCTTGAGGCGCTTGCGGCAAGGTGCGGGAGGCAGAATTGTCTGTAGTTTGTTATGAATTTGAAGATAAGTAAATGTAACGGCTTCCAAAGTTTTCTAAGTCTTCGACGCCAGCAAAGTTCTGTACGCAACCAATTGCGAAATTGCATCATGGCTTATGTGAGTCATTCGACAAGCTTACGGACCATCGCGACGTCTGCTTTTCGTATGTTCAAGACGTAAGACAATGCTAAAAAACGGTGATGCTGGCAGTCTCCACCACTTTGGCCTGCGGACGGCAGTGACATCTACATTTAGTCCGCGGAAAGAAACAAAAAAGCAACAATCCATGATTAGGGCACTCGTGATGCTGTGCTGGAGGCACCGACCACTTTAGTCAAGAACGGCCGTCCAATGACGGTCTTGGTTGACTAAATCGGTCGACGTGCTGGCAATGGCCTTCCGCTTGCCGAAAGTAGAGCGAATTACGAGGTTGCACTTTTCCAGCTCGACGTGACTCGGTCTGCTTTGGACGGTCTTTGTTGTTTAAAATGGTTGACACTATTGTTTGAAAAAGGACAACCGCTGCATCAGCTACAACATTGAAAGCCGCAAAGAGGGCAGGAGCATTAGAAGAAGAAAAGAGATCATGGGGAGCTCCCATGCATGACTGCACAAGTTATGGTGCCCGAATATATGTCGTGAAACATATTGTATATATGTATATATATATATAAACAACATAAATATGCATATCTACACAAAATCAGCCTTTTATGCTGCATGCACCTGAAACGTGAGAAGTGCATTTCAGCCGCAAATGGGAGTTCTTTTGGCTTCCAGGTGCAGATGGCGAGGTGCACAGTTTCCCCTCGCCGCTGCGAGAGCTCTGCGCTTCCGGCTATGCCTTCGCCGGCATCGGCGAGGACGGCGCTGTGAGGGCCTGGGGCGACCCCGCTTTTGGCGGGGACTGCAGCGCGGTCCAGGAGCAGCTCAAGGATTGGGGCAAGGAAATGAGAGGGGAGGTGGGCTTGAGTTCAGATGGAAAGGGCTTCGCCGTAGGAAGGGTCAACGGGCCAAAAGTGCTTGGAGTAGCAAGGAATCCTCGCCGGGTCACGTACATGTCAGCTGCCATTGCTTTCAGGAAAGAGAACCTCCGACTAGCTTTGCAAACTCACAGATCCAACTTGGACAAGGAGATTTCGATCAATTGCCGCCTTATGACAGTTGCTCATGTTTTGGCACAAGTGTTCAACGATACCAACACTGAACATGATTCCTCCTCGTTGTCATTTGTCATATCCCAGTGTCGAATTTGCACGAGCCTTGTTTGGCCGCCAGGATGTTCAGGTCTTGGTTGCCACGGATGGCGCATTTGCAGCCCTACGCTGTGATGGCGTAGTCGTAGCATGGGGTGATGCTGCCAAGGGCGGCGATTGCGGTGGTGCGCAGCTGACGGACAGATGGGATTCTAGTGGATGGCTGGGGTTGGCTGATAATTTCCACGTTGACAAGAATAAGAATGAAAGGGCTTGGGAAGATGGTGCTCGCTTGCGAACATTCGTTTATAGGTGATCTTGCGTCCAAATTGGTCCTACCTTTGCCCTGAAGCCCATTTTGTTTCTCCGCTGAGGAAAGCGGGAAGTGCATCAAGCACAGCGTGCAAAGCACATGCGAGCCTGGCACGCCACAAGCGAATGCGCAGGACATCTGCCAGCTGTGTGCCTCCAGCCTGGCCTTTGCGGCGCTGCGAGACGATGGCCGGGTGATCTCCTGGGGCAACCTACGGGGCGGCGAACCGCCCGCGGGTTTGCGCGGGTAGGGTGCCCGAAAATGTGCGGAAGCGGATGGCAAGGGCCAGTGATTTGTTTCTTCTTCATAGCTCTTGGATCAGGTAGACCTTAGTTGGTGGAATGGATGGGTGGCTTGGGAGTTTGAGCCGCTGGTTCTTGTGGGTAAATGGGAACCCCCCCCACCAAACCACCGGGCCCCAAGCCACCAATTAGAGGTAAGCTGATTGGATGAAGTGCTGGTGCGCTAGAAGACCAACGTCAGCACATGGTTCCCAAAAGGAGAGCGCATGTGGATCTCCAGGAGCATCCAGCGTCGGTGGCGCACGCGGAAGGCCATTTGGGGAGGGAGGTTGAAGATAGGCACCTTGTTTGGGTCCCCGGCTTCCTTTTGTGCTGCCTTTTGTGGGCACCAATCCGGCCTCTTGCATGAATTGCCGCCGTGCATGCCAGGTTATGGCGTGAGTAGGCCATTTGACCATGGTGCAAATTTTGTTGGTTGATTAACGTGCTGGCCTGCCAAGGATCGAAGTAAGAGACAGATTGTGACTGTTCATTCGGTTTACGTCACACGCCGGAACCCCTGAGTGTTGACAGTTCAATGATCTTGGTAGTTGGAGCCGAGTTCACATGATCCACAGTGTTGGCAAGCTGGGGTCATGACGGGGAGTCAGCATGAACATCTCATCACTCCGGCCCCAAAACCTGCAAAGGTGGAGCCTGCAGAGCTGGTGTCGGAGGATGGAGTTCAAGAGGAGTAGGGATGGGTAAATCAGTTGCAAGTTCTCAGCTTGCGAGGTTTTCTTCTGGGCGAAGGCTGCATGGCAGGTTGATCGCGCAATAGAGAGATCCAACAATGGACATGTCTTGAGTCCGTGTGATCAGGGAGGAGTCTGTTGCTATCAATGTGGCAAAGACTAACACGACTGGACAGGGCAAACCAGGTTCTATCCGATCTGTTCGTTTTCGGATGTGGGTGCTGTTTCCTTTTGGGATACCGCTTGAACACAATCTCCAAGTCAGCCAGCAATATTGATTGTGCAAGAGACGCCAGGACCTGCGCAGCGAGTTTGTGGGCCTGCCCGTGGCCCAAGGGGGTTCAACAGTTCCAGGGCGTAAAGGCGAGGGTCAAAGGATAGGATTCAATCGAGGTCTTTTTGGCTTTGGGGCTTAGCGCTTTCATTTGGGTTTCCAGGGTTTCCAGGATGAGACCTTGGCTTTTGCGGAAGCCTCATGGAAATTGCAGAAGCTATCGGGAATGACTATTCTGCATCGTTGCTTGCAAACGATGCTCAGTTTGTCCTGCTTCGCATTTTTGTTCGCTGGATCATCAATGAGGTGCGTGTGCAATGTGGCTTCACCTGCTTTGAAGCTGATCAAATGTTTGTTTGAGAATTCGTGACGCGAGATCTTCCATGGGGCGTCCGCATTCGTCCACGAGCCTTTGGACTCAGCGAAAGGCCAGAGGCAGAGCCCCGAGTGCAGATCCTGATCTTGGACTCGGAGGAATGGAGCTCGACATGGCCATTCATCTAACAACTCACTGCAAAAGAACCCCTACGGGGGGAGGCTTTGTTGCCTGGCTCGGGCAATTTTCCTTGACCGTTATTGGACTCCATTTTGAACTGAACTCGCTGGCTAAACGAGGCGTAAGGAAATCTATGGCATAGCCTTGTTGAGACGGAAGAGGGTGAGTGCATGGGGATAGCCGCTTTTTTGTCTCAGCCAAACGGGCTGACGTGGCAGAGCAGCCATGTCTCAGTCACTTGTGACATGGATGAGCATAACGCCTTTTGATATTTTCATTGAATTAGCGGATACATGTATCTTTAGCACAGCAGACATGGCTCTTTTGTTGTGACAATACATGTCAGCTCTGAGTTGTTGTGTTGCGGAGAGGCACACTCCAAGTTCCAACGCGGCGATTTTCTTCGCCCTGGGATTCAACCGCTTTGATTCCTCGCCAGCCTGGTAGCCCATCAGTCGCTCGGCTTGGCCAGCGGCCAGGAGTGCATCCCGGCTCTGCGACTGGACCTGAGCGAACTGGAGGAGCGCACAGCGTGCTAATCAGATACGAAAGGCTTCCCTCGGCTGACTTCAGACTGGTGAAGCAAACACATGACATATCTGGCCCGTGCTTCCTGTCAGGAGCAGTCGCCGCCTCCGCCGGCTTTGCAGGCGCAAGGGGGGCAGCGGGCATGCAAGTGATGTTCACTACGTAGAAGCTGGATATGCCCCAGGGCTGGGCAGAATACAGCCACTATACCCCCTGGGTAGATGGTTTGAGGCCGATGAAAAAGCGCATGCCATACATACCTACAATGAACTGCTAAGGGCTAATTTCATGGAGTCATTCAACTTTCTACTGATGCTTAAGGAGCTGTGCCCAGACATTGATTCAGCGCGAGTCAAGCCAGGAGCCATGAGCTGTTTTCTCATGCTTGGTATCGCGTGAAGGCCCTTTATGTCACATGTGGATCCAATCATTCAGTAGCACTTTCAGTGAAGGGCACGTTCACGTCAGGTCGCCAAGTTGGAAATCTGGTACTTGTTGGCTTTTGCCGCCAGGAGAGCCCAAAGCAGTCGCCAAAGGCAGGGTGCAAGGGGAATCCTTCAACACGAGACACACACACACACACACACACACGCCCACACCCCCACACCCCCACACCCCCACACCCCCACACGCCCACACGCCCACACGCCCACACGCCCACACGCCCACACGCCCACGCCCACACGCCCACACGCCCACACGCCCACACGCCCACACGCCCACACGCCCACACGCCCACACGCCCACACGCCCACACGCCCACACGCCCACACGCCCACAACGCCCACACGCCCACACGCCCACATGCCCACACGCCCACACGCCCACGCGCACACGCGCACACGCGCGCACGCGCACACGCGCACACGCACACGCGCACACGCGCACGCACGGCCACGCACGCGCGCGCGCACGCGCGCGCGCGCGCGCGCACGCGCACACGCGCACGCGCGCACGCGCGCGCGCCCACGCCCACGCACACGCACACGCACACGCACACGCAAAGGCACAGGCACAGGCACAGGCACAGGCACAGGCACAGGCACACGCACACGCACACGCACACGCACACCCACACCAACGCGCACACGCACGTGCACACGCACACGCACACGCACACCACACGCACACACAGCCTGTACACACACACACACACACGCACAATAGCACCCCACACACACACACACACACACAACACAGCACACACACATGTTGTCACACGCACGTATCACGCACACGCACGCGCACGCCCAATGTCGTTACGCGCACTGCATCGCAACGCTGCTTATATATTATCTTCGCACGCTGTACGCCACCTTTGCACACTGCAACACCTGCAACACACCAACACCACACACACACGCACGCACACGCACTTCAACACGCCACACCACGCACACGCAACGCACACGCACACCACACGCCACCACACGCACACTACCACGCCACCACACGCAACGCACACGCACACGCCACCACACAACACGGCACGCACACGCACACGCACACG